GGACTCTTGGAGTTAGATGTTATAGCTCGGTATTAATTAAGCATTATTAACAAAAGTCTCCCTAATTTTTATTTCAAACTACCCGAGTTGACTGGAGGATATATACCTTTTATTTCTTGTTTGAGGAGGAAAATTGTCATGTATTTAGCATTTGATTAAAGACAACTTTGTTGTTTTTTCCAAAAACTGCATCATTTAATGTAATTAAACATGGGCTTTGTTGTCAATACTCTTCAGTTAAATGCACTGGTGAGTGCCAGCAGCATTTTTCTTATTTGTCTTGTCTGCATGGTGTGGTGGTAGTAGTCGTTGCCTTTTAATAAGGTCTTTTGCAGTCATTTTGTGGGCTGCCTCCTAACGTCTTCTATAGACCATCCATGATCCGTAGACCACAAGTTGAGTAACATTACTGTGGACTTAAGAAACAAAATATTCTGTTAACCTTATTTCAGCATGTCCTTGCTTTAAAAAAAATAAAGTGTATTTTGAACTTGAGCCATGTGTTTTCATTGGGATCTTTATACCTCTTCAGAGCACGGATGAACCGGTATTTTCTGTGAGCTGGGAGTGTCTTGTTGTTCTCACCTATTCAGACAGATGAACTAAGGCACAGGGTAATTACAGCAACTGGCCCACGTTTGTACTGTGTCAGCAAAGCCAGGGACCTCGCCTGGGAATCCTGCTCTCCCTGAGGAGTCCGGAGCTGATTGGGAGGGTTGGCTCTAACTTTGAAGAGCAACAAGTATGTTCAATGAAGTTAATTAAAATTTTTGCAACTGGATTTAATTGCAAACTCTTATTTTAAACCTGTGGTGTTTTAGCAGGGTCCTGACTGTATCAGCGCGTGCTTCGCCGTGGTCGGGAGCTGCGCCGAAGGCCCGGCACGGAGCTGTGCAGCTCTGTGTCCAGGTGCTGTTGGCTGGGAATCCGTAGATGACTGCAGAGTGTTGTGGACTTGTCCGTGCCCGTCTCTTGGTCTGGATGTGAATGTGCTTGGCCCAGTGCTGTGCACCCCATTAGCACGGGCTGTGCCCGAGCTGGGGATGCTGCTGGGAGCTGGCAGGCACTGGGATAGCTGGGCGTGCGGGCAGAGCTCCTTGACGTGTGGGCCAGCCTGCAGCAACTTGCAGTGGCTTGTAGTCTCCTTTCATGGTGTGAATTGGGAGAACAGGTGATGGGAAAACAATTTTAGACAGTAAATGGCACATGAAGAGGAAAAAGAGGGAAGCAGGGTGGTGGCAGGGGGAGGATGGGGGTAGTTTTCAGCAGCAGGGCAAAATCCTGAGGGTCTCCCAACAGGTGGAAATAAATGGGTTTAGGAGGTTCCGTGGTCTCTTGCCTCGTCTGCAGATTCATGTTGTAGGCCTGATTCTGGGTTTGCTTGTAACCTCCAGCTTTCTCCTGTTCCTAATCAGAGACCATAAATCTCTTCATACCTAGTGCTGTAATGGCTAACACAGGTCTGTGGGTAAAACAGTCTCGGATGGAGACTCCAACTGGGGGGGAAATACTTTTCCTGTGAGACAATGTCTGTTCCTCATCAAAATCAGTTGAGAAAAGTAGGAACCAAACAGTTTGATTTTCAAGATTTAAAGAGCCTGGCTGCACTCTCTCTCCTATTTCCATTAATCTGCTTCTATTGTTTGTGTTCCTCTCTTAAAAATAATTATTAAAGGGTTGGGGAGGAGAAGGCATCCCAGTGTCTTCTGCTGGGAATAGGTGGCCAAGCAGTGTCCCAGCTGCACCCAGCTCTGAAGTGGCACCAGTACATCCCCAGCACAATGTTGTGCTCCTACTTTACTCCCCAGTGGCAGCACCCACAGCCTTGTTGCCAGCTGGTCATGGACCCTCCTCCCTGGAGCAGTGCTGGGATGGGCATATGGAGTGTAAAAATGGGATCTGAGGTGATGGCATTTCTGGAGCTGCCTCAGTGCTTTGGTGGCCTCATTTGGCTCCGGGCCACAGTCCTTCTGTGGTGGAAACATCCAGGGCCTCGGGCTTGCACTGAGATCTTGCTGGTGACCTGCTGTTTGCAGGTGTGGAAATGCCTGGGCAGTGCTTCTTTGCCTGTTTGCAAGCGCTCTTGTTTTTCCAGGGCTTCTAACAAGAAGCCTTAGTGGAGACAGAGGTGGTTTGCTGCCCTTGTTAAGGAAAAATCCCTTTTGTGTTCTTTCTATTGTGTGATTAGTGCAGGGCATGGCTGGCAGACACTGTGACTCGGTGCAGGATGGTTTTGTTGGCCCCTGTAAGTTCATCCTGTGTCTGTAGCCCTCTAGCAGACAGTTAACTTTGTTTTGGTTGCACAGACAGAGGCAAAAAAGCTTTTGAACTGTTTTAGAGCTTGATACCATGTGGCTTTGCACATGGTGCTGAGTTTTAAGCCTAACTTCTGATCTGAAGAGTTAAAAAAAGAAAAACCATTCTGTTTCTTTTACTGTAGTCAGCTGGCTTGGTGTGGTCAGGTCTACCTGCTGAGCTTCCAGGGAAGCCTTGGCTTGTTGAAAGCTGCCAAGGAATCTGGGCCCCCAGCTGGAAGTGTGTGTGTGTCTCTGTGAGAGAGTGTGTGTGTGTGTGTGTGTGTGTCTGTGTGTGTGTTTATATTTACATGTGCTAATTAACTCGTAGGTGGCTGCAAGCCAAAATGTCCGAGTTGGAATCCGTTATTAGGAAAGTACCTTAAATTACTGCAGATCCCAGCGAGCTTTTGGAGCCCTTGAGAGCCCCGTGCACGTGTCCTTGGCAGCTGCAGGGAGGGTTTGCCCCTTGAGAAACACACGGGCTGCAGGAGGGCTGGAAAGGTGCTCGTGTCTCCTGGGAGGGTGCTGGTGTGTCCCTGGAGGGTGAGCAGAGAGGGTTTTGAACCACGTGCTCCTGGCACAGCCCCCAGCTTTGGGTGGGAATTGGTGATTAAAATCCCATCCAGTCGGAAGCGTGAGGGGAAGTGGGACAGTCATACTGGAAGTATAAATACGTGTCTTCTGGGTGCCTCTGAATTCCCCCACTTACTCAGGGGCTTTCCTGCCCAGGGTGGATTGCACTGAGCACGCCAGGCTCTTGCATGGGGAGGCTTTCTTATCTGGGATGAGAGTCAGGCTGCTCCCAGGCCACCGGTGCTTCCCTGGGGTGGCAGGTAAGGTGCCCCAGGGCTCGGCAGGGATGTGTGGGTGCAGGGCTGGGGGGAATCCCAGCTCCTGTGCATGGAGTGAGCCAAAAGCAGGAAAGACATGGCTGTCTCTCTGCTCCATACCTTGAGAGCTAAACCTTGCTGTGTGTTTTTCCACACATCACTTGGCAAAATACCTATTTCCAAAGAGTTCCACCTGACGCTCGGCAGGAGCATGGCAATGTCTTTGTGTGTCTGTCATCCTTAGACTTCATGGGGATTTGCTGAAAAATATGATTTTCGTAAAATTTGACCTCTGGATGAGGGAGCCTCCCTAGGCTGCTTTCCTCTGGCTGCTCATCGTGCCTGGGCTGCCGGGGGCCGTTGCCTTGGTTTGGTTTTATTTGTGGCTGTGATCGATGCGTCAGTGCCGGCAAACCAGCGAGGCAGCCCTGTGCCTGCCTGCAGCAGATAGCGAGGGGTTTATCAGCACGGGCTGATCTGTGGTCTCACAGGAGGAGAAAAAATTAGAAAAAGAAAAACTTCCTCTTTTTTTTTTTTTTTCTTCCCCCCCCTTTCCCACCCCTTTTTGGTTTTTGTGCACGCCAACCGCTGTTTCAGTTGAAGTTGCGTTGGCTGGGACTGGCTGTGCTCCCCATGCTTAGAGACCATGAGCGTGGGGAGAGGCTGCTGGGAGCTTGTGGCGTTGGAAACTTCCTCTGCTGCTCCTGATGTGCTGATGGAAGATTTTGATGCTGCCAAAAAACCTTGCACAAGTCTATATGTAACGTGCACCTGCACCGAGCAGGAGATGAGCGAGTGTGCGCAGCATTGGGTGGGATGGAGGATGGATCCCAGGGAGCTGAGGCTCTCCCTGCTTAGGATCAGTCCTTGTAGCATCTCCTGAGCTCAGGCAGCAGCGGGAATTTATGGTTTGTATAACTAACCAATAATATGTGAATAATAGTTAATGCACCTCAAGCTGGCAGCAGTGAAATGCAGCATTTAGACCTTTGCTACTTTTTCATTGTAATCCATACAAAAACCAGGAGGCTTAAAATCCTCACTGAGCAAACTATATGAAGTATCTATAAAAATCAGTAGCTTGTAAATCTCCCCTTGGGCCAAGGAGTATCTTCTGACTTTGTTGGTTTCCCTGATTATGTTGCAGCTGCAATAGGAATTGCAACAGGTGGTACAGGAGAAAAAGCATGGGTGGCAGGGGCGTTTGTGAAAATACCCTCAGGGCTGTGGTGTCTTCTCAGACTCTTGGTCTTGATCAGAAGGGGCTGATCAGGTGGCTCTGGATGTGTGACGTGCTTTAGTCCTGGTTTTTAGTTTAGCCTCTTGGATGGATATGGCTGTAGGGGAGGTCAGTGCCTGGTGTCCCTCCTGGCATAGATCAGGGCTTACCTCAGGGGGCTTTGAAAGTGGCCACAGCTTGGAAAGGAGGGCACTGACATGTGAGAGTGTGGATGTGGAAAGGGATGGGCTAGGGAGGGACCTTGTGTTGAAATGCCAGAACTCTAGATTGTGTCTTTGGAAACTAAGTTGTCCTGCAGAAAATACCCATCTCCAAGAGACTTGGAGACACAGATCAACAGGACCCAAATAAATTGCTGGCATTTTGCTGGCCTAGTCCTGCTGGTGCTGGGGGAAGGCTTTCCAGGGAAATTGGGTGGGATGGATTTGGGAAAATCTTTTATTTGGACTTCCCTGTGATAGAAGTAATCTACAGCAAAAACTTGGCAGTGGCGTTTGCCAAGCGGAAGACGAGGCTGCCGGGGAATTGCGAGGGCAGTGAGGTTTTGGTGATCGCCCAAGGCCTGATGTTCGGTTGTCACATGGGACTGTGGTTGACTGAATTTTAACCTGCTGCTTTCCTGTTCCCTTCCAGCTATTGCGTGACGTGGAGAGCACACACATGATGAAGAGGAGCTCTCGGCTCTCCTAATCCTTTCGTCGGCGATTTGGAAGCAGCGACCGCCGCGCCTGCTCTTCCGACATGTCTGGATCGACGCAGCCCGTGACGCAGAGCTGGCGCGCTGCCGAGCCGCGCTACCCCCCACACGCCATGTCCTACCCGGTTCAGATTGCCCGGCCACACGCGGTAAGGCAAAGCCTTCCCTTCCCTTCCCTTCCCTACCCACGCGCGGGGTGGGAGCCGCCGGCGTGTCCCCACTGCTGGGCAGCGGTTCAGCCGCGCCGCTCTCGGATGTGGCTGTTACGCAGAAATCAGACCGTTTCCGTGCCTGTGGTACAGGATTTCATCGTTCCTCTCTCGTGGGATCCTCTTTTGTTTCTCCATATGGCGCTTTCAGTTTTTCTCTCCCTTTCCAGCCTTTTCCTGGCACTTGCCGTGGCAGTGCTCGTGGGCTCCAGCTCATCATTTCTGAGCACCTCTGTCCATTTGTCCTCCTGGCAGGACCACCCTTGGTTGGGTGCAGTATCCAGCCTGGGGGGAAAGGGGAAGGTTGATCATTTGTGTGGAGCAGGAGCACATAGCCTCCAAGCCTCTTCTGCATGGCCTTTCCTTGGCCCTGAATCAAAAGGAATGACCATCCTCTCCTGCATATGGGCTCACTGCTTCCCTGCGAGCCCAGTCCTTGCTCCTCACGCCCATGGGAGAGCTCTTCTGGTTCTCAGACAAACTGTTGGCAGTGAACCTGCCCTCTGTTCAGGAGACCTGCCTCTCTTCATGTGGCACTCCTGTGGAGCAAGAAAATAACTGAGATGCTGAGCTTTCCATTTTATCCTTCCACAGTTTTTTTTCCCCCTCTTACATTGACCCCTAGTCTTTTCTCCTCTTGGATCAGGGCATAAGCTGGTGATGATTTTTTTTTTTTTTTGGCTGTACCAGAACTTGCAGAGGTTGATTCACCTGGATCCAGCTTCTCCTTTCTGTGCCATGTCACTCACATCTGTGCTTGCTCATGGGTGAATGTTTTAGGTTTAAGCCCTTAACAGAAGAAACTGTCCTTAGTGGAACAGCTTTAGTCAGCTCAGGCTGCTTAAAGGAATCTTATTAGGTGCTGGAGTGTGGCTCACACTTGCAAGGCTCTTCAGAGCCGCTTCTTGGTGGGTCACAGCAAGGTGGCCACAGCCAGGAAGGTGGCTGTAACACAAGTCATCGAGGAGACTCTGTCTGGGAGTACCTTTGACAGTGACAGCTACTGAATGGTCAGGTTCAGTCTGTGCTGGTTTCAGTGTTTGACTTCAGAGCCTGGAAACCCATGAAGTGTCAGTGAAGGGGTGAAATTCCCTCATTTGCCCTCTTTGCCTGGCCTCAGCAGAGTGGCACAGGGAGCAGAGCTAGAGTTTGGAAAGGCTTTGAAATAGAAACGTTAAGGAGGGCGCGGGACGAGCTCTTGGCTGTGTTTGCTGGCTCATCTACATCGCTCGGGGCCTGCGTGCTGCTGCACAAAGAAGCTTTTCATCCCGGCTATGAGACACGCTGACCTGGTTCGATTTATGGGAGTTTTGCTTCCATCGGTGCGAGCGTGTTTGTTTGGGGGGTGGAACAGAACCAAGAGCATTTGTCTCAGAAAGAAAATCCCAGTTCTCTTTCTATCAGAAACCAGAGCTGGAGGAGGATGTGACCAGGTGAGCATGATCTGCAGTTGTTGCAAAACTGTGGTTTATAAACAAACCAAAGGAACCTCAATCCGCAGTGTGGAGACTGATTTTAAAAGAGTGCAAAAGGCTCCTGGCCTTGGGGTGTTGAGCCCTTTTCTCCTGCAAATCCCAGCTTCTTCCCCTTAGTGCTGCCAACAGCAGGATGAGCTGAGCGGGGCAGTTGTTCACAGTGGGCCGGAGCTGGGGGTTCCTCCAGCCTGCCCTGCTCCCCGGCTGCAGTGAACACTGGTTTTGTTCTATTGTATTAATGTTGGAAGAAGTTGCTGGCATTTGCTTCTAGAAGCTATTTTTACAGCCACATGTAATCACCCGAAGTTATGTGATACCTTTTGGGTGTCTGGATGCAGGAGAGGTGCAAACCGAGATTTTTTCGGATGGAAAGCCAAAAGGCTCCTCTCAGCAGAAGCGTGACAGCCCCACACAAACCAACACACCTTGCCTCTCCTGGGAGGGTAGGCGGAGTGTTTCTGGAAGCGTGTCCCTGCATGATCTGCCCCGCCGCTCTCAGCTGTTTGCAAACACGTGTCTCTGGCTCGGTGGCGCCATGAGCTGGAACCTGGCCATGGCTCTGGGGCTGGAGCTGATCTCTGGTGGGATTGCTTGGGAGAGGAGAGCCCAGTTCCTTTGAAGTTGCTGTGCTGTTTAATATTAAAAGTCAGCGGTATTTGCTTGCATGTCTTGGCCAGGTCAGTTTTGTCATGGGGTGTGTTTGCACAGTGAGAGCTTGTTTGGAAGAAAGCAAGAGAGGCCAAAACCAACCCGACACTAACATGTCTTGCATCTAATTAAATTTTGGTTCTGGTTTGTTGCGTTCCAAGACATCCTTTCCTGAGAACTGGGAATTCGTCAGCTCAGGGATCCTTATCCTGGTGGTGGAAACGCCCTGGGTCACCTCCTGGGCACGTGTGCAGGGCTGAGCACAGCAGGGCTGTAAATGCTATTATAATATAAATAAATAATCACAGTCCAACTGTGACGGTCGCACCCAGGGAAATGCGGCGCGGCAGGAATGCTGAGCTCAGAAATGAGCCGTGACATTATTTTAGGCTCGGAGACACTTTATGAAAAGTGATTTAAAGGATTGCAGCTGTTTGATTTCACAGATGAGGCAAGTGAGAGGGGATGTCGTGAAGGGGCAGCAGGCAGTGGAAGCAAGCTTGGGCATTTTTCTTCTCCCATCACAGAAAACCCAAGGGGATATCCAATAAAAAGAGGAAAAATACGTATTTCAAGTGAACAAACAAGAATATGCTTTGTACATATGGGCATCTCCTCCCAGCAGCAGGTTCCATGAGTTACTGCTGAGTTTGGAGCTGGCAGAGAAGATCGAGTACCGGTTGAGTGAGGATGTTTGTTGGCTGGTTTCACTCTTGAGTGCCAGCTTTGGGCAGGGCTGTGAACCTATGGGTCTGACCCAGACTGAGCTCTGGGGGATGATGCAGCAGACAGGCTCTTCCACAGGGTAAGCAAGTCCCCAGCCATATTCAGGTGTACTCCTCCTCTTCCTTCTCACTGAGAGACATCTGGTCCCAACAGCTGTCAGGGAGGCTGGATGTGAAAGTGGTGCAATATTTTATAATGACCCTGGATTTATTCTGTCCTATTAGAAAATGACTTGCAAAAAGTGTTGACAAGTGAGCGTGCTTTTAAAGGGAAGCTTGGTGAAAAGGTTCTGGTTTGTTTGACTTTCTTGAGGTAAAACTAAAATCACCAATAATCAGCAGTTTCTTCTTAAGGGCACTGAGTGGTTCTTGGCCAAACTGCAGGGAAAACATTTCTGTTTTCCATATTCATTAGCTATAATGTTGGTGTGCGTAGTTGACTTCTGTCATGTTCAGCTTGGAAACAGAGGAATTGTTTGAATGCTCCGTGACCTTTAGCTAAAGGTGAAAAAACACATTACTTACACTCTTAACCTTCTAATGTATCCGAAGTTCATGCTCTCTCAAAGGAAAGTTTCGCATGAAGGATATTCATTTTCAGGCAACCTGCAGATATTTTCTGTAAACAGATCAATTTTCCTGTGTAGTGCATGTCCCCTTTTCCTTTTAAAGCTTCCTTGTGATCAATATTCCCTGGGAACAGAAGGGTTCCCTTCTCTTCCTTCCATGTGAATCCAGTTTCTTGCTGTGCCCTCCTTACCAGTCATCCTGCTCCTGTTAGAGCCCTGACATTTCTGGGCAGGAATGACATGGTTTCAGATGCAGGATGGGCTTTTCAGGAGGGTGGTATCAGCTGCAGGAGATGGTGAGGGTCAGGGCGCACGAAGTGTCCTCATGCTGCAACCTTTGTGACAAAATAGCTTCTGCTTTTAGGGTGCTTTAAGTGTTTTATCTACTAGAGATGCTAAACAGGTTTGGGGATTGGTATGATGGGGGTGTGTGCACATTCATATGAAAGTGGTGCTCCACTGTCACATGAATCACCATCATAAGCACTTTTCCCTCCCTACAAAACAAGAGGTGCTTGGTTTGCCTCCTTCCTGCTGTTTGCCCCCATTCCCAGCACGTGGCTTCAGCTGGGATGGAAAGGTGAACTTAAGCCCCCCTCAGCTGCTCTGCTGCAGCTTTGAGACCTTTATGCTTTCCCCATGCCACCTCTCCTCCCTGGGAACAGCTCAGTAGTTCCTTCATTAAGCTCCCCATTTGCAAAACAGCCCTTGTGCAGGAGTGTCCCGGCCGATCACTCGTTTGGTTTGGCCCTTGATAAATAACTTCCTTGTCTGTCTGAACCAGAGACAAGAGGTTGGTGCAAACTTGCGTGTTGATTTGGTGTCCCAGCCAAAAGGTGGCCTGGGGGGAATCGAGTGCCTTCCCTGCCCAGACTCCTCCTCTCATCAGTTTGAGCAGGGCGAGCGAAACCCAGTGTCCTGCCGCGGAAGGTGCTGTCAGGAGACACAAGCTCTGGGGATGGCAGGAGCTCGCTGCTCTCCACAGTGACATGGTCAGTGTGGCACAGCAATGCCAGGTAAGCCTGCAGAGGGGCAGTGTATTTTGCATTACTGCTGCTGTGTTGGTTTTCCTTGGAATAGTTACTCACGCTATTATCTCCTGGGAGCAAAATGCCAGTCTGTGTGGGGACTCCAGGAGCTTGCAGAACAGAAGTGCAAGGAACAGGCTCCTGCTACCAGCTGAGTGAGGGGCATCCTGAATTCTGCCTGCGGGGCTCCAGCTAATGTTCTAAGGAATGAGTTGAAAATAAAAGACATATCTTTGAAATACTGACTCTGATCAGGTGTGTCACGAGAACTCAGCGCAGTCTCTCTTGAGTACCTTTGCAGTGACGGGTTGCATTAGCTCTTAGCAGCTTGGTGGTGGATTTGGGAAAATTGGCTTTCTGCTGTGGGACTGGGAGAGCACAGAGGTGAAGGAACAGGACACCTAATTCCCTGCCCTAGGGTCTCCCTCCTATTGCCAGGAAGGAGGAGTCGGCTTACAGCAGTTTGTATTTAAAGCTCATTTTTCCTAAGACACA